ATAGTCCACATAAAAGCTGAAGGAGTTCATTACTACTGGAACTGTCCTGCAAGAGATGCTAAAGAGAGTCCCTCAAATGGAAATGAAAGTAACTGGAAGTAAATGGAAATAGGGTAACTTGGAAGCCATGTTAAAATCTCCCATAAAGGTAGATACACGGACATATACAAAAATCAGTATTTTGCCACCTTGGCTTATAACTTCACTTTTTATTCTCCTACAGGCATCTGAAAGACAGAAGTATAAAATAATTATAAGTATATAACAATGGGTACAAAAGATGTAAAATTGTGAACTGTAACATCAATAACAAAAGTGGTGGGTGGAGCTTTAAAGGAACAGAATTTTCTCGTGATTGGAATTAGGCTAGCACCAATTTAAAACAGATTTTTATAAATTTAGGATGTTATATGTAATCCCCATGGTAACCACAAAGATAATATCTACAGATTATACACAAAAGGACATGAGCAGTGAATCAAAATATTTCATTATAGGCTAGGTGCGGTGGCTCACGCCTCTAATCCTAGCACTCTGGGAGGCCGAGGCGGGAGGATCGCTTGAGGTCAGGAGTTTGAGACCAGCCTGAGCAAGAGCCAGACTCCATCTCTACTAAAAAAATAGAAGTTAGCCAGACAACTAAAAATATTTAGAAAAAACTAGCTGAGCATGGTGGCGCATGCCTGTAGTCCCAGCTACTCGGGACTACATCTAGATGCAAGGTGAAGAGGACCAGTAACTGATCAAAGCCAACCAATGAAGGATATGTAATGTGAGTCAGAAACAAACCTGTGTTGTCAGTAGTCGCTGAGATGCAGAATTATTTGTAACACAGACAATCTGGCATGGCCCTATGGATGCATGCCTCACATATCAAAACACAGAAAATCACCACACTGCACATATGTGCACTCATGTAGCACACACATACACATTTTATCCCAAAACATCCCAAATATGCATCCCCAACCCTCTACAGTTAGAAATACACACATCTACAACCTTCCATGACACAAATACACATACAGAGACACCAACCCCACCCCCCAAGTGCATATATAAGACACACCAGCCTCCTCAAACAGCTGCATAAAACCATGGACTCACACGTGCCCTACCTCACCAGAATTCAACATGTACTTCACATGACATCACCCTTTTCATATAGACATACACACTCCCTAAAAATACTCTGAATATCCACATAAACTATCTAAAAACTAGGACACATGCATATATCCCAAAAGAAACTTCACATTACACACAAAACTCCAACCCCACCACAAACACATATGGTGGCTTTCAAACCTCCCTAATACACACTAATCCTCCTACACCACTGACATTCACACACACACTCTGTGTTTATACATACAAAGACATGCCAGCCTGAAAACATACACACATTTTTCTTCCATAAATGAAAAAATGACTCAAGCTGAACAGGGGTAGACTGTGGTGGATATGGGCATCTGCCGCCTAGACCCCTCCTTGATGAAGCACTTGTTTTGCCAGTTGCTGGGAAAGCTTCTGGAAGACAGCTTGGTTGTCAGGCCCTACAGCAGTGGCTTAAGCTATGGAGAGAACCCTCACTGAGTTCTCACCTCTTCCTCGGGAGGCTTCATATTCAGTGGCTAATAGAAGCAGGTGATAAAGCAGCTGACTGAGGACTACTGAGGACAGTCCTGTTGAGGCACTTTAGCCCCACAGTGCCACGTGGGGTCAGGTGGGATTGTTTTGAGGCCTGGGTCATAATTTCACTTCTCCCTCAGACCAATTTTATTCCCTTTTGCCCCACTATTTTAAAGCAAAACATCATACTCATGAATTATCTCAGAGACTGAACCAATCTGAGACAACATTCTTTGATTCCTCCATGCAACAAGTATTTATCAACCACCAACAAACAAGGGGAAGATTGCCCCGTTTGTGGATATCATATCCTACTGGGGGAAACAGACATTAAACAAATAAATGTACCATGGATACACACACACACACAGACACACACACACACACGTAGATTCTGGAGATGTGCATTCGGCAATTAGATGAAGAAAACGGGGCTATGCAGAGAGAACCGAGGGGCTATGAATGCGGATTTGAAGGAAAGTACAAAGGAAAGAGTACACGCCCTCGTATAAAATGGTTTCTACTACTGCGTTTTCTCCTCACGAGATACCTGCAGTTTTGGCACATGTTCATTTTAAGGTCTCTCAGTTTTCTATTGTGACAATAATGTAGAAAAACAGATGAATGGAAAACTCAACAGATTAAAACCACAAGCATTTACTCATGTGAGGTGTCTATGTGTCAGTGATTTGGGCTTGGCTCTGCTGGATGGTCCTTCTGCTCCAGTCTGGGCTCACTCACATGACTGGGACGCTCAGCTCTCCTGGGCCACATCTTCCAGAAGGCTGGCCTGACCATGTCCTCCATGGATGGCAGAAGAGCAAGAGGAAGAGCCCAAGGCAGGTCCCACGACCGAGCCCAGAGTCAGAGTGAGGTGGAGGCTGTGGTGGGTCCCATGGTGCAGGGCAAGAATGCAGTGAGGTGAGGAATTGGGGTCACCTCACTTCTGCCTGGATTAGGTGAAGCCTCTGAGGTACAACTTTTATCCAATAGCAGGTTACTGCTCTTGAACTGTGGAAAAAACACTTTCTCCCTATAAATGATCCTTCATTCTTTGCTGCCTCCTTGGTGCAGACACTGTGATAAGGCTCTGGAGGACTCTAACATGAATAGGTCGGCTCCCTGTGCCTGATGTTTAAACCCTGTAGGAGGCAGAGGTTTAAGCATTAATTTTGCTATGACACGGAGGCTGAGGCTAGGGTTTTAGGAGGAGCAGCAGGGAGGCCATGCTCCCCAGGGCTTCAGGAGCAATGGCTCTGAGTGTGGATGGGAAGATGGCCTGATCTAGGAAAATGGCAGCTATGTTTTGTATAAACTAATAATCATATCAGCTCAGGCTGAATACTTATTAATACAATATGCCATTCACTGCTCCGAGCACTTTACACACATTAACGCGAATCTTCATAACCCTGTAGAGGTAGCATTACTATGCCCGTTTGACAGATAAGTAAGCTGAGGCTCAGAAAGATGCTTGCCCGAGGTCACGAAGGTCACAGAGTACACACTGGGGCCTGCACCATTTGAGCTGGCAGTCTGGCTCCACAGCTTGTGCCGCTGTCCTGACCCAGTATGCCCTTTTAGGGACTTCCCAGCCCCGTGGGAGTGCCGAGTGCAGAGAAGACACTTCACACAGGACGTGAAACCTCCATTACCTCTTCTGGGGATGTAGCTCCCCCAAAAAGGAGGGGTCCCCATGGGGGTGGATAACTTCAGTCCGGTCTGTTCCAGTGTCCGCCGTCAGTGTGGTGGCAGTCTCCTCGCTGGAGAATGCTCCGTCTCCCACTGCCTGCTTCCCGGGCTGGGCCTCGGCATATGTTTCTGGGCCACCTCCAGCCACACGTGCTTTCACCCCTGACTAGCCCCTGGGATATTCCCACAGAAGAGAGACTGGGCTTTCTTAAATACCGCAGTTCTAATCTGCGGGCACCATGGACATATTTGGTGCTCAAAAGATGGGTGAGTGAAGTCTTGCCCTATGGGGAGGAACGCCGAGCCCCAAGTTGACACTCGTCAGTGTTGCCTGCTACTTGCAGCCATGGGAGATGAGCCGTGCAAGGCGGGAGGGGCTGGGGCTCCTGCGCTGTGGATGGCAGGCCTTCATATCCCCTGACTTGCTCGCTCCACCTCTTCCCGCAGACTCAAAGCCTGTCTTGGGCTCCATTCCTGATCCTAGCTATCTCTGCTCTGTTCCTACTGTCTCTGTGGAGCCCATTCTGCCTTCCTGGGTCTCTGTGTGCCAAGTGTCCTTCTTTTGGCCCTCTGACTACAGCCTCCTCCCACTGACCCCAGGCTCCTACAGCAGACATCAGAATGGCCTCCTTTGATGGGCTAGTTACTAAATGACCACACTGCCACCTTCTAGGTGTCCTCAGACCCACCAGTGTATCACTCTATGGTCCTGGGGCCCCATATAGCCATGTGGACTGAGATGGGTACAGATTCTCCTTCCCATCCACTCCTGAGAATCAGAGGAGTAGGGGCCGTCTAAGGCCTGGACAGAGGGCCACCCAGCACATGGCTGAATATTTCTTCTGTCCACGGACAGAAGGAGGTAGTGTGTGGCGTATGCCATGACATACACCCTGAGAAAGGACTGGCCCCACAACAACTAGACCAGTCCATCCCCAGCCATCCCAGCGACTTCCATGCATGCAAGCTCAGTGGGAGATTTTCAGTGCTCATTCAAGATCCTGAGATGTACCTGTTCTTCTCCCCCAAACCTCAGGACCACGACTTCCCCTTTAAAAATAAACAAGGAAAAATCGCAAGATGATCTATTTAATATATATTATAGTGCATTCTTATTTAAAATATATAATGTTTTAAAATACAAGAGCATGATTGTGGCTCACGCCTCTAATCCTAGCACTTTGAAAGGCTGACACGGGAGGATTGCCTGAGGCCAGGAGTTCGAGACCAGCCTGAGCAAGAGTGAGACCCCATCTCTACAAAGAGTAGAAAAATTAGCCAGGTGTGGTGGCACATGCGTATAGTCCCAGGTACTCGGGGGGCTGAGGCAGGAGGATCACTTGAGCCCAAGAGTTTAAGGCTGCAGTAAGCTATGATGACGTCACTGCACCCCAGCTCAGGTGACAGAGATGGGGCCTGTCTCAAAAAAAATGCGTAAAAGCAGACAAAACTCCATTCTGCCAATAAAACACAATGCAATTAGTACAACGCACTGTCATTATGTTACGATAGGACATGAAAGAGGCAATGGGAGCTACTAGGAATCCATTTGTATGACAGGGAAGCAGTTATTGGAACAGTCAATCAAATGATGTCAACACATTTATAGACAAAAGGATAGACATTATAGACAAAAGGATTCACCATGAGCAAGAAAAGGCCAGAAGGTGGCTCACCATAAGGAGATAGGCCCAGAAATGCTTGCATGGGTCCAAGGGAGGAGGCAGGGACTGTGGGCTCAGCTGGTGGCCACCTTGATCACGTGGCTCCCTCTCGTGGGCTTGTAGTTCCATGTGCAATAGAGAAAATACGGGAGGTCGGGGCACCCAGCCAGAGAAACATGAAGCTGAGATGTGCTTCCAGAGCCAGAAGCAGCCTGAGCCTACAGAAAAGAAAGGAGAACACGTCTGAAGGGTTGGGAAGGCCAGAGGCCGGTTTCTGCAGAGAGGCCCTCCCCATAGCTCCAGTCTCAGTTCCCAGTCCCCCTGGGAACAGAGCCTGTCCACCTCTGTCACTGTGGCTTCACTGACCCCAGCCCCGTCAGGCTCCTCCCACTTCCGCAGAGCTGGCACCCCCATGCCAGAGACAGTGGGCGCCGAGAACCAAAAGATGAGACACATCAGGGACGCCAAATCCATTCTGTTTTGGGGAGTCCTGTGCCTCCATGGGACAGAAGATCCAGGGGGTGTGACTGGGACACTCGCCCTAGCAGGACCGCCATCGCCCTCCTGATTGCCGAAGGCCAACAGACCAGTTCCTCCTCTGCTTGGCACGCACACTCCTTGCCCACCAGACCAGGAACACTTCCCTGTTCGGCTGCGCCTGAGACCTTCGCCAGAAGCTCAGGACTGCCCCGGACCAGAGCACATCGGGAGGCTCCACCTCACCTGCCCCCGAGGACACACTGAGGCTGGCCGCCCAGGCTCTGGGTCTGGCTTTTGTCCCAGGACCAAAGCCCATGTAAACTCAGGCTCCCTTGCAGTTGCTCTCCCCAGGCCCAGGTTCTCAAGGCGGGCTGTACCCTACTTCCTCTTTACTCCTCACTTTGCCCCTAGAATTGCAACCCAGCTCTGGCTGGGCTGCATTACTGCCAAGCTCTGCACAACACTTCCTACCAAAAAGCTGACCAGGCTCCGGCGTCCGGAAGACCCCAAATGACATCTGCTCAAAGAACAGACCAGGAACCACCTTGAGCTACTCAATCTGAGGGTACATTTGCTGTACAGATTTTGAGAAGGAAATGCTACCTATGTATTCCTGGTTCACCAGGGTAAAGGAGAAGAGCGCATGTGCATTCGACTCCTTCTTTTTAACCATGACCCCTTCGGACATGGCTCCTAATCCAGAAACCAAAGAGTCCTCTCAACACTGAGGACTTGCTGGAGGTGCTGCCCAGGTTGCCCTGGAGATAGGCTGCCTGAGAACTGGTGGTATAGCCGACCTGCCTGACACCCACCCATCTGCCCAGGGGGCAGATGGTAGCAGGGGCCCAGGCAGGTTTTCAACACCTGGACCTCAGGGTGGAGGGTGTCCTTACCCACCAGCTGTGTCCAACAGGAGGCAGCAGTGCCATCAGCTGCCCAGCTGATTCTCAGGGGGTTTTGCCTAGAAAAGGACTTGGCACATCTGACCTCCTGTCTGGGAAACCCCACAACTTTGTGAGTGCTGCCCATCACATGAACAATGCCTACGAAAGTTTGGCTCTGTAAAGCATTCTGTCCACCAGGCCCACGCCATCCCAGGACCCAGAGGACAGGAACACACAACTGCTGAAGCAGCAACCACCTCCTCAAGATACAAGAATTTCTGAATCCTTCTGCTTCGGGAGGACTCGAGAATTATCAACGTTAGTGGGGATTCTTTGGCCCTAAAGAATGAACCAACTAGGTAGGAGCAACACAATGACTCAGAATGACAAGGTTCAAGGCACACAAATAGGGTCCACAGCCCCCAGGTCCCACCCACAACTAACACAGAGTCCCCAGTACATTTACCCACTGATGCCTGAATAGTCTTGAGTCAGACACATCTGCTCACACACCCTGAACACACACACACACACACACACACACACACACACACTCACACACAAATGCTCTTCAGTGCGTGCCGCTTAAATGCTGAACAAAATGCTCCCCAGGGGGAGATTTGTGGTATTTAACTGTACCTATAATGTGGTGTAAAATATGTGGTGTAAAATGGCATAAATATCCCAGCGCCCCTAATTGCAAGCTAACAACCTGCATCCTGAGTAGAACCTGCAACTCTAAACAAAACTACACTACATGTGTCAAGAACACAAACCCTTCAAATATACTGAACACACATGTACAACTGCTACCTGCCCCCTGAACACACAGACAGGCCTCCTACTGCCTAAATTTGGATAGACAAAACTACTCACTGTGAATGCTCACACACCACTCCTACAACCATATATACACAAACACAAACATGTACAATGAACACACTGCCCATATGTAAACAATTAACACCCTACAGCAAGCCACAGGCTCCCAAAAGCCACAAACTATACAAATACTTGTCTTTGTCTCATGCATTCCCCCTAAACGAGAACCACTTGCAATCCCACAGCTCTAAAATACACATGCTCCACGATTCCTGAATGCACACACAACCCACAAAGCCTCTCTGTTTCCAAGCATACACACCAAACCTCCCACATCTCCCAGGATTTAAAACACAGAAGCTCCATAAGCTCAAATATCCACATAGCCACCATCTATTTATGAAATACATATAAGTCTATTTCATAGACATTGAGAACACATACAATCAGAACCACCAAATTCTGCAAGTAGTATGCTCCAGGACAAACAGGACCCCTAACTGTTAAAATACTCACAAACCCTTTATATACATACTCACAGACGACCCACCAATACACATCAGAGAGATACACAGAGATACACACAAAACACAAAAACACCAACCACCCAACACTCTAATATACATATGCAATTCTCCCACACTTACAGACACACACACAAGTATCCCCAATCCCTGAATATGTACATCCCTCAAAACACTGTACAATATCACACATCTCCAGAAAACAACCTCCCCACCTCATTCCCCAAACATTCCCAAACACAGGTAGAAACACCCTACCATTTTACAAAGAAACATACTTCCAATGCTCCTCTAACAATCCTAAGCTTAATAAAATGAACAGATGCATAATTCATCCACGTGCTGACGGATATACACTCCAGCCAGTATACCCACCCAAGACACACAGAAACATCTCCAGCATCCCGTTTTAAAATACACATAAAACTGCTTCCAAATCCTACACTATCTCAATCTAGTATGAACCAGCTGCCACATCCCCAAATCCTAACAAAAACCATATCACATAGCTCAAATACTCATAAATACATTTCTCTCACTCCCCTGTTTAAATATAGAATCCCACCTATCTATCAGTAAAACACATGCTCAATTCCCAGAATATATTAACCCTAATACCACTCACTGAAACATCCAACCACATAGCCCCAAACAACATTCAGCCAAGTTGCCATGTCCCTTGAACGCACAAACTTAATACACACGTACTTCTCCACATGCCCCAAATATACCTATGATTACCTAGCACACTACAGATAGGCAAACAGACCACCCCATATCCACAAATGCGCATACAGCCCCAGGCTACCTGCACATCCGTAATCACACACTCCCAAATACTCACGCACAAATAAGTCCTCCATCTTCCAGAATACAGAATCATACAAAACCCACCTCGCAAATGCACATATTCATCCTACCAGTGCCCCAAACAGGCATAGATTCCCCTCACACACTGATACACCCATACACAACTCCTGAAAATCTCAAACAGAAACAAACAGAACCATACAACATGCCCTGAATACACAAATGGTCCTCCTACATCCCCCAAATAGATAAACCAAACAGACTGCACACCCAAAAATAGATACAAAACCACTTTCCCTAACACTGCCCATATGCACAAGCAGAGAATCCCTCCAAAGCTGCCATCAGACACATACAAACCCCCAACACTCTTGGGAAAAAAATATGCAAAATGTACCTCCAATCTCCAAATTACAAACACCCAATGCCAACTCTTTGAGTACACATTACATCTCACACCCTTCATGTACAAACATTCCCCCTACACACTCTCACAAAAAGTCAGGACCTTCTTTTAATCCATGATATCCACACAGACATCACCGACCCACACGTGTGAATGCACTTATCAGATTCTCACCAGCTAAATGCGTAACAAGCTCCAAACTATGACAGCATATAAACACATTCCTGGCCGGGCGCGGTGGCTCACGCCTGTAATCCTAGCTCTCTAGGAGGCCGAGGCAGGCGGATTGCTCAAGGTCAGGAGTTCAAAACCAGCCTGAGCAAGAGCGAGTCCCCATCTCTACTATAAATAGAAAGAAACTTAATTGGCCAACTGATATATATATATATAAAATTAGCCGGGCATGGTGGCACATGCCTGTAGTCCCAGCTACTCGGGAGGCTGAGACAGAAGGATCGCTCGAGCCCAGCAGTTTGAGCTTGCTGTGAGCTAGGCTGACGCCATGGCACTCACTCTAGCCTGGGCAACAAAGTGAGACTCTGTCTCAAAAAGAAAACAAAAAAAACCACATTCCCAACAGACCTCCAAATAAAGACGTCCGAAAAGCCATTCACACGCCTGAATTCCTACAATCCCCAAGAGGCCCACTCTTAAGTGTGCCACCACGTTTTCGGATACACACAACCATCCCACAAACCTCACATGCTCTCAAATCAAAAGGAAATCTTCCTCACATTCTCAAACATACACCCTGATGTCCCCCAACAGCCCATGAAAACACACACGGTGTAATCGATTTTACAGATATACTACACGTGTAGCCTACGATTACAAATAATACCAAAATAGTCACTACTCTCTATTTTAAATTCCATGGAGGTAAATGATTCTCAGAGAATGTTTTGGATCACTTTAAGCAAACTCACGCATCCATGACAAACCTATGTTTGCAATCAACAGATTGTGAATCAAAGCTTTACTGAATTTTCAAAAGTCACGTCACTGACTGAGTTAGAACATGAATGTGGGTGGATTATTGTGTTTACATTAATAAGTTTCAGAATTGAAACAACAAGGATGCACATTAGACCTTATTCATTTTACAATGACATGAGCTACTTCTTTGCTGACTTGGACAATGGCTTTGAAATATTGCTCAAGCTTTGACGTTACTCACAGTGGAAGAGCGGGAGGCTGGGCACGGTGGCCCATGCCTGTAATCCCGGCACTTTGGGAAGCCCAGGCAGGACGCTCTCTTGAGGCCAGGAGTTTGAGAACAGCCTGGGCAAGAGCAACACCCGGTAGCTACCAGAAAAAAATTGAAAAATTAACCGGGCGTGGTGCCGCGTGCCTTTCCTCCCACCTACTCGCGAGGCAGAGGCAGGAGGACCACTGGAGCCCGGGAGTTGGAGGCTGCAGGGGGCTGTGATGACGCCATGCACTCCAGGCCGGCTGACAGAGACGCCCTGACTCAAAAAAAAAAGCGGAGACGTGGGGCACGCTCAAGTTCACAACACATGTTAAACGTCCCCGCTCCCTTCAGGTCCAGGCAACTAACACAACGGGGACAGGAGCCCGCCGGCGCCGACCACTTCCGCGGACGCAGGCTCCGCCCGCCCGAGACCCAGCGGCCACAGGGGGCGCGGAGGGACGCGGGCGGTGTCGCCGGGGACAGACTCACGGGCGCCAACGGGCCGCGGGCAGCAGCATGAGGCGGCGGCCATGGCTCTGCGCAAACATTACCTCCGCTTTTTACGAAATCCCTTATGGAAACCGCTTCGAAAAAGCGGCCGTTGGCGGGGTCTGATCTTCCCCGGCGGACGCTCACAACGGACGCCCGGGGCCGTTGCAGAGCCACCTGACACGCGCCACAGGCCCGCCCGCCACAGGCCCGCACGCCGCGCCCGCCAACCGCGGGGGCGCGTGCGCATGCGCGGGCGGGGCGGCGCGGTCCCGCGAGGGCGGCGGGAGCCGAACGCGGCGCCGGGTCGGAGGCCTCCCCGGCTCAGGGCGCCTCCGCGGCCTTCCCTTGTTCCAAGAAGCGCGTCCCAGAGGACCGCTGAGATTCTCCGGAACCACAGCCCTGCCCGCCGGGCACTTAGATACCATCCTCGTCGCCGAAAGGCTCTCTGGAGCAAAGTGTCCTCCCGTCACAGCGGATCACGCATACCTTTTGGACTGCATTCTTTGATGCCGGTTCATGCCCTCCGGAAACAGTATGTCCTTTCTCCTAGTCAGTCCGAAGAGTCCAGTGAACACCTCGCGAACACTCGGAGACATGCTTTCCTTGACTCTGTCTAGAGTTTCCCTACCAAATTCACTGTACTGGATATGTATTTAATACATAAAGATGTTTCAATAAATGTTGCATGAACGTTTTCTATAAATATTGCTCTTGTACTTTCACCAAGATTTCAAATCCGGCCAATTTGAGATGACACAGCAGCAATTAGAAAAGGAACAATTCCACCGTCTCCCACCCCCCACTTTGTAATAGAGTGCAGAGTTGCGATGGCAGGAACATACTACGGCATCAACTCACTGACAGGAGTTTGCAATACTTGCAGAAGCAACTGGAATCATCACATCCCCTTCCTGGCCGGTTGCGGGACTGCATTTCCCAATCCGCAGGAGGCTCTGAAGAGCCTCAGCATCTGCCGCCGGCAAAGGCCTCCTCGTGCAGAGACTGGAAGCAGACCAGGCACAGACAGGGCATCTCGCCGCTCCTCCAGCTGCCATGGCTGGAGCAGCGTCTGCCTTCTGAAGCCGGCGACCCACGTCCAGACACGGGTTTTCTTTCTTTCTTTTTGGTTAGGTAAGAGTTTCACGGGTGGGCAGAGATTGTTTTCTCAGCGGTCAGTGCCAGGCCAGGACTTTTCTGTGGGAATGGTCAGAGAGCAGGTTCCAAAGGACTTTGAGCTACTGCCTTTGTCGGCCAGTCTTCACAAATTACATTTGGGCTAATTGGATTATATCTGCTCCTGGCGTCTTGGATTTTAATCAAGTACAAAAGCAATTGCAGAATTCAGACAAGACGCTATTTCCACAGTGCAAATTTTGTGTCAGTGGCCCAGAAGAAAACACATTCAAATCCCGTATCAAAACCATGAGTGAGAACTCTGGCAATATTGGCTGCCTTCACAAGAGGAGAAGCAACAAAGAAGCCTGCCTTCTTTAGTGCCCGGGCAAGATGTTTTCTGTCACCGTCCCTCTGGACTGAAAATCGTCTAAGGTTGCCTCATGGAGCTTAAGTCCTGAGAAAAATCTCCAAATGGTTTGCTTTTCTCATACTAGCCTCTAGTTGTTTTTCTTTTTCCTTAAGTTCACCCTGATTTTGCATGAATTGCTCTCACTTCATCTTCTCAACTAGGCAGGAATGGATGCGTGTGAATGGAGTTCCGGACATTGCTGGGTAGAATCCTGGCTGGTCTCAAAATGGACATCCATTCCACGGGTGGTGCATTGCTAACACCTGGAGAAACACGGAACTTGAAGCCCCTTAACCTTACGGGAGGAGAAGAAGGTGCTCTGCCCTCCTTTCCCTCCCAGCTGTGCCTAACCCCGCTAGACCGAGAGGCTTGAAGAAGGGTATGATTGATGGCTACTCCAAACTCCATGTCATCAAAGAAGCCTGCGTATGATTTTTCGGCAACTCTTGTGTTTTGTGGTGGAGCCGCAGTTCACACTTGAGTCTCCTTACTGCAAATGCTCGTTCTTACAGAGATTGCGGCCATGGGCAGGTCTCCGGCTCACAGGATTGCTTCCTACAGAGTGCTGTGCAAAGATGCCCTGGGTCTGCTGAGACCATGCTGTTTTCAGACGCTCAGTCCGCTGGCCTCACTAAGAACCCATACTTCGCAGACAGAGATTGTGTCCTGGATTTTGTTCAGAAATTGCAGCCACTGTTGCTGTTCTTCAAGAGCCCAGCTCCACAGGTGAAAAGCGGGGTGGGTTGAGGGTACAGAAGTAGGCTTACTGATGAAGAATGGGAGTCAAGGGGGACGTCCAGTGACCCACGGGCTGTGACTCTGCAGAGCTGTTCACAAATTGCCTAAGGAGGCACACACAGATGGCGCTGCCACTGTCTAACTGGAAGGGAGCTCCAGGTTCTTGCCCACCTGCCGGAGCACTTCCTGGAATGTTGGTCCCCCAACCCCTGAGGCCTGCTGCCCACCACCCCTCCCCCACCTCGGAATGCCCGGACTGCTGCGGTTCTATCCTGTTTACACTCAAACTTTGCCCTGCTCCACTTGGACCCCTGAGCGTCTGCTGAGCCAGGTCACGCTCCTGGTCCTGCCCTTGACTTTTCTTATCGAGGAGGCCGCCAGACGGCTGCTGTCGGTGCCTGTCCTGCGGGGATGGCTTCAGAAGGAGGTGAGCTGCTTCAGGGAAAGCTGCGCTACCAGACTCCCTGCCACCCCCAGACTCAAGTCCACCCTGGGGACAGCTCACCCTGGGGACAGCTGATGGGGATGGGGAAGAGGGAGGGAACACTGCACATCCCCAGGTTGTCCCAGCTGGGAAGCCCATGGCCACCTGAGGCTGTGGTTGGGGCGGACGGCTCCTGGGAGGTGGAGCAACGCAGTCGGGGAAGTACACCGGGCAAGGGAGAAGCTCGGGAGGAGACGTGGTCAGGAAAGCCTGAGTCTTTCCAGACAGGAGATGGCCACCTCGACATGTATTTCTAGGGAGTCGCGAGATTGTGCTGTGGCCGTAGCACGGGGAGGGTTACCGGGCACAACCTGAGCCCCCTGCCATTTCTTCAGGCACGGGGAGCTTGTCCTGTGATATTATTCTGAGGGACTTGGACAGCAGTTTCCTGGCTCTTTGGGGGGAGCGGGGAGAAATGGCCTGAGCCAGAAGACTGTTTGAGTGGCTTAGCTGTGGCGGGGTCTGCAGTGACATATCCCCTCTGTGGGCGGGGCGGGGGTTACTGTGACTGCTACGGCCCTGAGCCTCTCAGCCCCTTCCCCCTGGAGACAGCTGCCCTTTCAGTCCCAGGTAGCTGCTGTCTTTGAATCAGCAAGGGGGGGGGGCAGCTGGATCCTCCACCAGCACAGGGCTGGGCTTCCCCGAGTCGTTCTGAATTGTGCCCCTTTTGTGGAAACGCGGGTCTTCAGACCTGCTTCATCCTGCCCACTAGCCCACGGCCGACCTCCCTTTCCGTGTGTTACTGTCGGAGGGAAGATTTTCCTTAGGTCCCACGTCCAGTACTTCGTGAATGGGGAACAGTGTGGAAGGTTGTTGGTTTGAGTGGAAGGTTGTGAAAAGGCTGGTTTCCTTTTCAGTAGAGGAATGAGAGTAGCACACGATTGGGAATATGATCTTCCCTGATTATTAGTAAAAGTTAGGACACATGTCCTGATGAATTAGGTGCATGAGCTGTGGACCTTGTTCTCCTTGGCTAGACTCTGCTTGAGGTCCTAGTGAACAGGGATGAGTTCCGGGCAACGTTGTCCCACCTGGGCACCTGGCTCCTGCCTGGGTCTTTACGTTCCTTTATTGGGAGCTCAAGGAAGAAGGACCACAGATGGCCTCCTTTTTCCGCGACCTCTTTTACATGACCACCGGCCGTGCAGATCTCTGGAAACCCACCCTCACTGCCCCAGCGTCACCATTTCTTGGCCCTTGCCCAAGCCTGTGCAGCCGTGGCTGGCTGCGCAAGGATGGTAGCCCAGCGCACGCAGCACCGACTCCAGAGACCACCCCCTGGGAACAGAGCTTCTTGAGTGGGGCAGGGAACACCAAGCACAGGGACAGAGTGGCCCGAATCTGACCCCTACTCAGCATTTGCTGCAGGTGGTGCTAGGAGAAGCACCTGCACCCTGGGGTGTTGTGTTCTGGGGTTATCTTCAGGATTCCTGGAGTGCTGGCTTGGAGAGAGATCCCTCGCAGCTGTCTCTGTCTTGTTGTGTCAGGCTAGGATGGAGCGGGCAGGCTCTAAGGAGGATGAGGAAAAGGAGGACTGAGGATGAGATGGGGCCATCTGAACCGGCCAGCGTTGGGGTGCCTGGAACTGCCACTGAGGAAGGTCCCTCACGTGCTGCTGGGCACACTAAGAGGTGCTGTTCCCGCCAGCAAAGTCCATCCTGATCCATGGCTCAAGAGAAGCTTGCCGGCTGCCAGTTGTCGGCCAGGCGCTCCCGAGGGGCTCTTGCAGGCAGCGAGGCTCAGGGTTGCTTCTTGGCAGACAGCCGCAGGTCAGGGGTCTTGGTGGCTGGGACGAGTTCTCCAGCGGAATACTTCTCCAACGGAGGAACCGAGCATCAGATTCACTCCCGGGACCTTTGCAACCCGCACCGTGTCCCCCCCGGCCATGTGGCACCCACACCTGTTGAGAGTCTTCGCTGTGGTCGCCACTCACTCATGGGGGGCGCGAGAGCCCTCCTCCTGTGTTACCGCGTCTCCTCCTCCATCCACCCTTTCCTTTGACTCCACAGCGTCCTCAGTGCTGAGACCGGACAGGACCCTGAACCCCGGTGCCTCCATGCCTCCGTTCACGGCTCTGCCCTTCCCCCCACCCGTCCCCGGCCCAGCACACCGGCCACCCTGGGGACAGCAGCCACCACCCCTCATGACCGCAGCGTTCCCTCCTGGAACCCCGCTGGTGCTGTCTGCTCTGCCCACGACTCCTCTGCTGGCAGGAGACGGTGCCTGTGGCGCGAGTGGGGCTGGCGCCTTCAACGTCCTTGTCCAAGTCAGACCAGAGGCGGGGCCGGTGCAGCCCCCCCACACTCAGACCTTGGTCCTGACTCAGGCCCCGCTCAACTGGGGTGCTCCGGGAGCCCTCTGTGGGGGTGCTGAGGGTCCGGCCCCCCTGCTCTTGGCAGCTCCTCCCGTGGAGACCGTGGTGCCTGCGCCAGTCATCGGCAGTGGCCCGGGTGTTGGTGGTGCTCCGGTTGTTGGCGGCGCCCCAGTCATTGGCGGCGTCCCGCTCCTTGGCGGTGCCCCGGTCATTGCCGGCGTCCCAGTCGTCGGCAGTGCCCCGGTTGTTGGCGGCGCCCCGGCCGGCAAGGGAGGCTGGTTCACGGGCCTTCCTCACCCAGAGCCCCCACCAGCGGCCCAGCTGGCCGCCATCGTGTCCCCAGTGAAAGCTCGGCCACAGCCCCCTGGCGCGTGCAGGGAGGGCAGCCTGCCCCCCTCCCAGGCCAAGGCCTCACGGGATGACTCCTGTAACTCCAAGAGCGTCTACGAGAACTACCGACGCTGGCAGCGTTTCAAGTCGCTGGCCCGGAGACACCTGGCCCAGAGTCCGGACACCGAAGCGCTTTCCTGCTTCCTCATGTGAGTGTCCTCGGGACGGCGGCTCAAGCAGAGGTCACACATACACAGGAACGGGGTGGACAGGAGGGGCAATTGAGGGGTTCTAGAAGGATGGTCCTGAGGGCATTGGGTCACCTCTGGGAAGGTGACTTCTCAGCTGCACTCATGTCACTCCAGTCACGACATGCTTCAGGTCCTGTCTCAGTCGGTCCTCACCACACGGTGAGCCCGGCCAATCCTCATCTTCCGGTAATTATCATGCCGTGGTTACAGACAGCTAAAGGTCTGACGGGGGTCCTGGTGTGACGCCGGCCAGGATTTGGGTTTAGGTCTCTGGGGCCACACGCTGATTCCTCCCCTTGGACTTTCACCTTCCAGCATGGCACGCGACGGTTGGTGGCCACGGGGACGCCACCTGGGGGTGTGAGAGCGGTGCAAGTGCCCCACATTGCTGGCAATACCGTCACATTGGTGGCTAGGGCTTCGGCATGGGAACCTGGGGGGAAAGAAACACTCAACCCGAACATCGAATATGACATTCAACACGGGAACATGAGGACTCAAGGGGAAGTCGGAGAGGCCACACGATCCCTTCGGTGTGGCTGTTTGGTGGTGGGAGGGGGTCCTGAAGGCCGAGGCGCCGACACTGGGGTGAGACGTGACAGGGACAGATGGCAGGACAGCTGGGGGGAGGGCAGGGGGTGTGTGCTGGGCCGGGTCAGCACGGGACGGAGGGTCGGCTTGTAGGCTGTGACTGACCCCACCGCCTTACAGCCCAGTGCTTCGAACCCTGGCCCGGCTGAAGCCCACCATGACCCTGGAGGAGGGGCTGTGGCGGGCCCTGCAGGAATGGCAACACAAAAGCAACTTTGACCGGATGATCTTCTACGAGATGGCGGGAAAGTGAGTCAGGGGTCCTGGGCTCAGGGCTGCACGGTGGGGTGGGGTGAGGGGGGGTGACAGAGGCAGGGCTGCTGTGGCGGCTGCTGTGGCGGCTGGTCAGTGCGGGCTGTGAGGAGGGGTGCCCCCTGGCACAGGCCCCCGCCCCGGGCCCCGTGCGTGCTCCCCTGGGAAGCTGCTCGCTCCGCCTGGGTGCCGGGGTGTCTGGGTCCTCCCGCCCCAGGAGCTCTGCCCTGCGGGGTCCTGGGCCGACCCTGCCCCATGGCGAGGGTCATGGTGGCGACAGTCTCCGACACAGCCCAGTGGGTCTCCTCCAACGGTGGGGGCTGTGCAGAAGGTGGCCTGGCCACTATCGACAGAACTGGGGTCCACCCCTCCCCAGGAAAAGCGGCCAGAAGTTGGTCACCTGCCATCCCAGCAGGGACAGGGGAGGCCGGTCAGGGCATGCCAGCGCCTCACACACCCGAGGACACGGCCCTGGCCTTACTGCCTTTGCTCCTTGGCGGAGCCCTGTGTTCAAACACACAGCCAATCGAGCAACAACGGCCCTCAGAGGAAACGAACCCTGAGCTCTCCACCCAGCCCCTATCCCTCCTGCCATCTCCTGGGCCCTTGTGCCCCAGGCTGCCCTCAGGGCTCATGGCCCCAGCCTCAGGATTCCCGGATCTGGGCAGCAACCCTGGCGTTTTCTGCGATAATCACGTCCCTGGCCTGGAATCTGGCTGCGGGGCTCTGGGCAGACACAGGAGAGGCCTGGAGGAGGGGCCACAGTCCGGCCTGCCTGGGTCACGGAGGCCTGATGGCGTCAGCCAGCCCGAGTTGATGGCCCGGGCCCTGCACGTGCAAGGGGAGGAAGGGTGACCCCGAATCTGTGGTTCTGCCCCTGGGAGCAGCTCCCTCCTGGGACTGGACCCAGCCAGGGCCTGGACAGCCCACCCAGGGGCAGCCCTTCCCATGCCTGCGGTCGGCCCCTCCCTGGTGCCGGCCCGGGGGCCTGGCCTCCCTCTCAGCACGGGCTGTGCCTCCCACACCCCCAGGTTCATGGAGTTTGAGGCAGAGGAGATGCAGCATCAGCAGGTGCAGTGGATGAAGGGGTCCCAGTTCCTGCCGCGACCGGCCCCTCCGAGGCCAGCTCCTCTAGGGTCCCCAGCCCCTGAGGTTGTCCAGCAGCCAGGTGAGCCTTCCCACCTTCCCTCAGGAGCCACAGGGAGCAAAAGCCAAAGGGACCAGGAGGCCACCGGCCCCACCTCCCGAACTTTTCTTCAAGAGGGGTCATTTGTTCCTTCAAACCAAACCGCCCACCAAGAGCCTGGGGGCTCGGCCGCCCTTGGCCGTGAACTGAGTCCATCGGCCTGCTCAGGCCTCAGAGCTGCTCTCTCCCCGGCCCGTCCAAACCCAGCATGCAGTCTGCCCATGGAGCAGGGCCTGGTTGGGCAGGGGACCCGAACACCAGTGGTCCCAAACTTCCTCCCGCATGACTCTGTCTCAGCCGTGCCCCCTCCTGTGGCCGTCTCCTCCCGGGGTTCCATAGCTCAGGTTGTCCTGCCCCAGCCCGGACAGCATGCATGTCCCCCGGGCCGGGCCGGGCCGGGCCGGGCCCTTCCCAGTGTGGCTCTGAGGAGTGCTGCAGCCCCTGCCACGCCACCCTCCTTCCTCCCCGCCTCAGCGGTCCTTCCCAGGAAGCCTGGCCCCAAGGCCCGGCCCGCCCACCTGCCACCACCCACAGCCCAGCGGCGGCCACCCGAGACCAAGGCGCCCAAGGAGGTGCCCCCTGAAGCCGTGAAGGAATACATGGACATCATGGACGAGCTGCTGGGGCCTGCCCGCAGGGCTCCAGAGGAGCCCGATGCACAGTGGGAAGAGGACGCCACTGCGCAGTCTCAGGACGAGGCCGGGACCTCCCCGGACCCAGGACTCCTCAGCTACCTTGACAAGCTGTGCTCCCAGGAAGGCTTCATCACCAAGGTGGGCAGGCCTAGAGCGCCAGGCTCTGGAGCATTCCGGGGAATGGCACTGCCTCCCCCTTGAGATTAAGCTCTGTTCCTTAGCTACTGAGCGGCGTGTGTGTGTGTGTGTGTGTGTGTGTGTGTGTGTGTGTGTGTGTACATGGGCGTGAGTGCATATGTTACATGTGTCTGTGCCTGTGTGTTTTTGTCACCAAGCGTGTGTGTGAATGTGGCTGTGAGCGCGTGCATCTGTGTTCCTGCGTGTCTGTGTGGCCGTGTCTGTGTGTGTAGCCAGTGGTGGGGGCGACGCAACACAACCCAGCGGCGTGCACCAGCATGAGGTGGTCTTGGCTTTCTGTGTCTCCTCGAGGTCCCCGTGGCTCGAGGTGGCGCCCTGCCAAGGACACTCAGGCTCTCTTCCTTCTGTCCCAGGTAGAGGCCGTGATTCACCCCCGATTCCTGGAGCACCTGCTTTCCCCAGAAGCAGATATGGATTCCTTGGCCCTAACCCAAGAGCTGGAGCAGGAGGAGGGGCTCACCCTCGCGCAGGTGAACCAGGAGAGGGAGGGACACGCAAGGCAAGCACGGGGGCCAGGAGGACTCAGGTACTCCAGGCAGAGAGGGCCACTCAGGGAAAGCAGGGCAGGGAGGAACAGCCAGGTAGACTAGGGCAGGGAGCGACACGAGCTGGACCCCAGCACGGGAGGGCCACCAGCTGTCATCTTCCCCCACCCACCAGGCTGACGGCTTCCCCAGGGGAGCCGCTGGGGAGGGGGAGATGCAGGTGCAGACCAGTAGGGGGAGACCAGAGGCCCCAGGGGAAAGGCGGGAGGCCACCTGCACTGAGGCCCAAGAGGGCGGCCGGCAGAGCCACGGGCTGCGTCTCTGACACCAAGCCAAGTGACCAGTCGCCTTCCCTGCCTTCCGCCCAAGTGCCGTCGTCTCCACCGTGCTCACGGCTGGTGCAGAGCCAGGAGATAAATGCCCGTTTTTTTCTTCCCCAGCTGGTGGAGAAGCGACTCCTGGACTTGAAGGAGGAACGGGGTGTGGGGGCAGCCCCGAGTCGTGGTGCACCCAGGTTGGACTGGAGTCCTTCTAAGTCTGCAGCTGGCCGAGGTGCAGACAGCGACGGCTGTGGCCCCCAGCTGGGGGTTGGTGCAGAAACCTGCCCACCACAGATGGCTTCCCGGGCCCCTCCAGGACACGGCAGAGTGCAAGCCGACCTGCCCAGGCCCAAGGCCCCTGCTCACCTCTCCGTGCGTCCAGAGTCCCCCAGGCTGAAGGCTGCCCGGCCAACCTCTCCTCCCCAGGGCCGAAGACCCTCCTCCCCTGGCCTGGGGACCTGGGATGCCTTAGGTCTCCCAGGAGCCTCTCCTGTCGGGGAGACGCTCGGGCCAGGCGATGGCTCCAGTGAGGATGAGGAGGAGCTCCCCAGCCTGGCCTTCCTCCTGTCCTCCCAGCACAGGCTGCTGCCCTGGGGTCTGTCCCAGAGCCCTGTCCCTGCCCAGCCCCCATCTGCTCAGAGAAGAGGCCTCAGCCCAGCCGCCCCTGTGGCGGCCGAGTCTAAGAAGCAAACTCTCTCTGGGGGCCCGTCCTCTGCTGAAGAGACCGCCCACCCAGGGCCTCAGCTTGGGGTCTCTGGGGGGCAACCCCTGGCCCTGGTGCCAGGTCGATCCTCACAGCCTCAAAAGAGAAGGGGTGACCCGTTTGTCTCCGGGACGAGGAAGAAGCGGCGCCGTAGCCTGTAGGGACAGTGGGGTGGCCGTTTGGGCGCCAGCCCCCAGTGGGCCCTGGCGGAGAGTAGCCCCTCGCTGCATCTTGCAGCCCGAAGTGCCAAGGGCTCCGCCTCACGCAGCGCTGGTCGGCCGGTCCTCGGCCGCCGGGGGCGGGCTGGGGAATGGACTTCCAGGGGAGTGGGCGGGTGGGTGAGGGAACGAACGATGCCCTGGGATGGTGTGTGATAATGTAAATAAAGGACATTTTATGGAAGATGCTCTCAGGGTCGCTGTCCTTGTACCGGCATCTGTGCCGCACGGGGAGCGAGGACAGGAAGGAAGGACCCGCTGATGCCCCCGCGTGCTCCCCTCCAGATGGAGGCTGGCCCTGCGGACGCCGCCCGCTGACACTCCCGCGGACCCCTGAGACCCTCCGTCACCACTCACAGGGCCTCGGCTGCTCAGCGGGCTTCTCTGCACATCTCGTCATCATCCGTGTCCCTCGACAATCTTGTCACGGAAAGGTGCTTTGGAGCCTTTCGGGTGTCCGGGTCATTTGCCCATTTTCTAGAATTGAGCCTGGATGGGGTACTTTTCTCTGGGGCGTTTCTTTCTGCCTCCCTGAGGGAGGCAGACGAAGGGGCCAGACGGCCCTCAGCACAGCCGGGGCCCTTCCTGGGGAGGGTTTGACAGGAGGAAAGGCGCGGCTCTGGGGCACACGGCTCCCCGCGGGGGACAGAGGCCGACGTCTGCGCGGCCCAGGGGAGCGTTCACGTGTGGAGAGGGGTAGCTCCCGGGAATCCTAATCAGGACAGGGCAAGGGGCAAGGGGCAAGGGGCAAGGGGCAAGGGACGGAGAGGACAGCGAGGCGGCATCTGCTCACATGCCTGCGTCTGAGACGTGACAGTGGCGGGAGCACACGCGGTCCCTGTGCAGAGTTTCTGGGCACAAAAGGGGCTTGTCCGACTGAATGAGGAGACCCATCTTGCTGTGGCCTCTGGGGACTGATCTCAGAGACCCTCGGGATTTTGCCTGGAATCCCCCACAATTCTCGTCCCAAATGATGACTGAGCTCTTGTGTGGAACTGTTAGAGTCAGATTTGCGTTCCTATCAGACAGTTCCTTCCTGACGCGCTGTAACCAAGGGTCACAAGCCCGGGCAGCCCTCCAGGAGCAGGATGGCTCTCGACACGTGGTGGCAGCAGGGCTGGTGCGACTACTACTGGGGATGGAGGCTGAGGGGGCTGAGGGTCAGCTGCCCTCCTGCCGGGCATGGGCACAGACCCCGCGGGCAGAGGGCAGAGCAGGGGCTGCCCGGGACGGGCATTTGTTAACTGGGAGGAGCCTCAGGGGTGGGGTCCAGGTAGCTGCTGGAGGGAGACATCTGGGCAGGTATGTGAGACGAGGAATCCATTAGGGGAGATGCTGAGCCGAGGGAAGGATGCCCCCTCTTTCACGGGACTGTCCTGTCTCCCCATCTCTGCCAAACTCCCCTCATCCCGTGTCCGTGGCCAATCTCTCCACCCCTTCCTCCCAGCCCGCCTCTCAGAGTCTCTGATCCTGGCATGGACAGGACCCAGCACCTGCCCTCATTCCCTCCCGGCCAACCCTTTCTCCAGGTTCTCAATTCTGATGCCTCCTTGAGGGCCTGAGAGGCGGGGGACAGTTGTGACTCCCGGAGTGTCAGCCCTGGTGCTGTCGCCGAGCAGAGCCGTGATCACGGCGACGGACGAGGTGGCTGAGCAGCTGCGGCAGGTGGGGCACAGCTGTCTACTGAGGCCTGGCCCTTCTGCTGGGTGACGAAGGGTGCCAGTTCTGGGCCCTCACCTGTCCCATCTGCCCAAGGAACCTGTCGGTCAGTCGGACAGATACTCCTCCATCACCTTCCCTTCTCCTGTTCCCCGTGGCCAGCACCCAAGTCCTGCCTGTCCTCTTTGGCTTTGTGAAGGACAGTTGATTCTTGGAGGAGCTTTTCCTGGATGTCACCCCTTTTCTGTTCCCAGGTTGGTCTCCACATCGAGAAGGAGGCCCAGGGTTTGTGCTGGGCTTGGACAGTGAGGTGCGGGCCAGCACACCATGGCCCTGAGGTCCAGAAGCTTCCAGAACACCCCACTGTGCAGGCCCTGGTGGGAAAGGGGCTTCTCCACCTGTGACCCGACCTGCCGTGTCCCTGGTGTCCAGCTGAGCACATGTCAGGCCATCAGGGCAAACGTGGGGAGTGGAGACCAGTGGCGTGCGTGGGCCCCCAGTCAGGGATGGGCAGCATCTGACCACACGCCGCGGCTCGTGCTACTGCTCCTCACTCACCTGCCTCTTGTCTGGCTTGTCCCAGTAGTGGCCCAACAGTCTCCAGAAGGAGGCAGCACATGGGCTTCCCCCACCTCTGTGTCCCCTTGGACCCTACAATCCACCCCTGAAGCGTATAGTGGGGCCGACTGGTGGCTCTTAGAGAGTGAATGTGTCCCCCCAAGTTCCTATGTGGAAGACCCAACCCGGACGTGATGATATTTGGAGGGGGGAACTTTGGGAGCTAATTAGGCTTAAACAAGGTCATGAGGGTGGGGCCTAATGGTGACGTTAGTGTCCAGAGAAGAAGAGGAAGAGACCCAGAGCTGTCTCTCTCTCCCCGACGCGAGGACACGGTGCAGGCCAGGACGCAGGCCCTGGCCAGGGCCCGGCCACGCTGGTGCTCTCACCCCAGACTTCCGTCCTCCAGACTGTGGTAAGCGCATGTCTGTTCGTTCAGCCTCCAGGCGACGGCACTGTGTCATAGTGGCCCGTTCTGACTAGGACGAGCTCCCTCAATCTCGGGAGCTTCCTTCCTGACAGGTACCTGGAAACCACGCATCAGAGCCACCAGCAGGAATGAAGAAACGTCGCAAGTACAGCGTGTGAGCTACGCGTCAGGAGAGCGGTGCAACGAAGTGTAGGAGAATCTCCAAAACCGACGACATCATCGCGCTGGACGCCGAGGAGCCCGTGGCGCTCACACAGCAGGCGCTCTGTGTGTCCCCCGCTGTCCTGGGGGCTTCGCTTCCCTGTGCACTCACGGAGTCTCCACAGAGAGCCATGAGGCAGTGAGGCTGAGCCAGGTCCCACTCTAGCGCCTCGTGCCTCTGGGCGGCAGCGGGTGGCTTGGCTCCAGAGCCCTCCGCCTTCATGGCTGGGCAGTAGGTCCCTGCAGGAAGCCATTGTTTTGAGTTCTTCTGAGTAAGGCCATAACAAGTGTCTGTAGATCAGAATGCTTCCATCATTCATATCCACTGTTTTGTTTTGTTTTTTTACTTTATTTATTTTTTAAGACAGAGTCTTTGCTATGCTTCCCAGGCTGGAGTACAAGTGGCAGAATCAGAACTAACTCTATCCTTGAACTCCCTTGAATTATTTATGTGATCCTCCTTCCTCATCCTCCTGAGTGGTAGAACTAGAGGACACACCACTGTTGGGGATTTACATTATATTTCCTGGTTTCAGAATTAAATTTAGTGAGTAATGTATGTGCTCTGCCCAGAGCGTTTAAAAATAAATGTGTCTGGACAGGGTCCCTGTGACACACAATGTTGCTGCCTAGAGGCATAACAAAGGACCTGAGTTTCTGTAAGTAAGCAAGAGCTGCCCAGTCCTATGGCAGTGGTGGTCTAGAGGCCACACCATAAACATATTGTTCCTAGGATTGCTGCTTAGCCCCATAAGTTGGCTGGTTAGTCAATGACAGGTAAGATTCCTCAGGGAGGAACAACCTAAGACAGTACAGCTGCCAGGGGCCAGCCTAGAGGAACCATGGCTGCCTTGCCCAACCTTACTAATCTTTGTCTGTGATCTATGCCTGGCACCTAGAACAACCACCTAGAAACCTTGAGTCAGGGGACATCTGTGTCCTTAAGGCTATGTGTTCCGGAATTTTTGGCCATTGCTATAATGCCTGGGTGGTCATGTATAAGGAACTAACTTTGATTTTTTAGAGTGTAAAAATAAACTGACCAGTGCATTTGGCAATTGAGTCGTGTACTGTCTTTGTGTGTCTGTGTCTTTCTTTTGTGTTCTGTGTTCATCCCCTGTCCTATAAACAGGCCACGCCACAGCAAACTCTCTCTGGGGGCCCGTCCTCTGCTGAAGAGACCGCCCACCCAGGCCTCAGCTTGGGGTCTCTGGGGGGCAACCCCTGGCCCTGGTGCCAGGTCGATCCTCACAGCTCAAAGAGAAGGGTGACCCGTTTGTCTCCGGGACGAGGAAGAAGCGGCGCCGTAGCTTGTAGACAGTGGGTGCCGTTTGGCGCCAGCCCCAGGTGGCCCTGGCGGAGAGTGCCCCTCGCTGCATCTTGCAGCCCGAAGTGCCAAGGCTCCGCCTCACCACGCGCTGGTCGGCGGTCCTCGGCCGCGGGGGCTGGAATGGACTTCCAGGAGTGGGGGTGGGTGAGGAACGATGCCCTGGGATGGTGTGTGTAATGTAAATAAAGGACATTTTATGGAAGATGCTCTCAGGTCGCTGTCCTTGTACCGGCATCTGTGCCGCACGGAGCGAGGACAGGAAGGAGGACCCGCTGATGCCCCGCGTGCTCCCCTCCAGATGGAGGCTGGCCCTGCGGACGCCGCCGCTGACAATCCGCGGACCCTGAGACCCTCCGTCACCACTCACAGGGCCTCGGCTGCTCAGGGCTTCTCTGCACATCTCGTCATCATCCGTGTCCCTCGACAATCTTGTCACGGAAAGGTGTTGAGCCTTTCGGGTGTCCGGGTCATTTGCCCTTTCTAGAATTGAGCCTGGATGGGGTACTTTTCTCTGGGGCGTTCTTTCTGCCTCCCTGAGGAGGCAGACGAAGGGGCCAGACGGCCTCAGCACAGCGGGCCTTCCTGGGGAGGGTTTGACAGGAGGAAAGGCGCGGCTCTGGGGCACACGGCTCCCGCGGGGACAGAGGCCGAGTCTGCGCGGCCCAGGGGAGCGTTCACGTGTGGAGAGGGTAGCTCCGGGAATCCTAATCAGGACAGGGCAAAGGGCAAGGGGCAAGGGCAAGGGACGGAGGAGGGACAGCGAGGCGGCATCTGCTCACCACGCCTGCGTCTGAGACGTGACAGTGGCGGGAGCACACGCGGTCCTGTGCAGAGTTTCTGGGCACAAAAGGGGCTTGTCCGACTGAATGAGGAGACCCATCTTGCTGTGGCCTCTGGGGACTGATCTCAGAGACCCTCG